CCTCTACCGGATCGACGAACATCACGACGAGGGGAAATTTCAACCTGCGTACCAAAACCTCTCTGAACTATCAGCTGTATCAGACGTTGGTGTGGAAGAAACGCAGGAGCGTTCCCATGCACACTTCAACCAACAATTTGAATCACGCCGGACGGATATACGGCATACGAAGTCTACCGTCTACGGTGGTCGAACGTCTGAAACTTGCCGAGTCGCTCACGGTTGACAGTAACGATCGTTTTCCATCGGTCAAGTTCACGATCCGTTATCCAGAAGACGGACGTTCGCGAAAGTTTCAACTGTTTTCTCCGGCACTCTGCTGCAACACGCAATTTCAGACCGTCGATTCGTTGCGTGCAACCGGACGCATCTTTCTGGACACGATACTGCGGCACGTGGACAGTTTCGACCCCCAACTTTGCAGACTCTGCATCGAGATCGCGAGATACTTCGAAACAGGCCTTTGACGGACGAGGAACTAGTCGACGTCGATCCGGTCAACAGATCGATGTGCTGCAAAAGATCGGGCGGTAAAAGAAAACGGTATCTCACCAAGTAAAAAAAAAATGTCACCATCAACCCGATTTTGCCGAACTCGCCGTGCGCGTTTCCAGCTTCGAGAACGGATGGCCTCACAAAAGTCCGACGCCGACGACTATGGCATTGGCCGGATTCTTTTACGCGAAAGACGACCTCGCCGTCTGCTTCCATTGCAACCTGCAGTTGATCGGATGGAAGGCGTCCGACGTGCCGGTGAACGAGCACGCAAAATTCAACGTGAATTGCGAATGGTACCAAAGAGTTACAGCGGGCTTGCAGAAACGCGCCGACACGGTGATGTGCGTTCGCGAATTCGGTTACGACGACGTAACTATAAATGCGGTGGTGCAACGTCACATCGAACACAACAAAGGAATCTTCGATCTGACCAAACGCAATCTACTCGTGACCGTGATAAAAGAGGGTGCAAATTGCAAAGAATACTTGGACGAAAGCCTAGTTTGCAAGATATGTTTGGAATTTCCGTGGGACACGGTGTTCTTACCGTGTTGGCACCTGCTCGCGTGCAACGGATGCTCGTTTGCCCTTGGAACATGCCCCGTGGTCGGACAAAGATAGAAGAACGAAAGCGGGTGTACCTGTGTTGACAAACTATTTACGACAGTGCCGCGTACCACGAGAGAGCAACGACGGTCGATTGGGTGGAGATGCCGGTAGAACACGTGCAAGAGGTCCTAAAGCTTCTTCGTCGAAAGAAACAAGATGCAGAGATTGCCGGCATCGTGGAAACTTTGGAAGGCTTGATATCGTCGTCGTCCGCCAAGTCAAGTCCGGAAACGAAATTGACTGCTAAATTTAAGAAAATGTTTTTCGATAAAGACAAAAAATTAAGTTAAAAAAAAGAAAAAGAGGTGGTTTACGTGACCGTTTAAAAACAAAAACACGAAACCTGAAATAAAAGTAGTCATGGAAATGTTTAAAATGATTTCTGTGTTAAAATCGGTACACGTCCGGTGGTCTAGACTGATGACGATTGACGACGGCGACCACCACCACCACCCGGCAAAACGATTGTGGATGGCAAGACTCGAGGACTTCACGGACGTGGAGACGCTGGACCGTACGCTGGCATCGATGGACGACTGGCGACGGTTCGTCGGATGCGCCGACAGGGAAACGTCGTGCACCACCTTCGGATGGACGTTCGACGGTAAACGATACGGATCAGATAATCCGTTTTTCGAACTGCTCATGCGGACGATGAGATGCACGTTCCTCCGCTACAATCGGGGAGAATCGATGCGACCGTCCGAAACCAAGGATCTGATAGAGGCGTGCTTGTCGGGACTGGACGTGAACGACGTCGTGGTCAAGACGGGAAATCGCGTAAAGTTCGGTAGGAGCGGAGGCGGTTGGTTGAAAGGCGACTTTTCACGGCTCTCCTGTCGCTGAAAACGTTGCGTGACTTGGTGGGAGAGCTGGCCACTTCCGCCCAGGATCTGGTGTTCGGAATCAGCAGAGAACAGTGGCCCGAACACGTGCTGAAGTTCAAACTTTCCGACGCCGACGTGAAGAGTTTTCTGGACGATGTGGCGGACGACGCGCGCAATCCATTGCAGCGTTGGTCTCAGTACGGTCGGTTTCTCGTCGATCTAACGTCCAACGTCATCCGGCCGCTAAGGCTTCTTGCCGAGGTGAACGAACGCAATCGAGCCTTCACCACCGACGTGGACGTATTCCAACCGAGCGTCTGGAGACGGTTGCACGCCAACGGAATAAATCTACCGCCGTGCGTCTCCGAATCCACCGTCCTGCACGAACCGGACAGGAATCGGAACGACACCGCATTCTGCCTTTTTAACGGACCGCACGACGACGAATTGGACGAGGATGCGACGATCATCGACGAGAACCGCATCAGACGCGAACGTCTGAGGCGTTGCGGCCAAAGCAAGGACGGTGGCGGCAACGAGGTGCCGGTTTTCAGACCGAGGAGGGGCAGATCGGCAGCCGATATCGTGCTCGACGTTATCGACGTGGACGAGACAAACAGCTGCAGATGCATTGTGATTTAAGACACAACCCGGTCCTGGATTCATGCCCATGTAATTTAATTCGGACAATAAACAAAAAGAATTGACACATTACTCGTTTGTACGTTTCAGTTTGTTTGTTTTACTATGCTCTCCCAATCAGGCACAATTTGTTCTTATGCACTAGATATTGTACATCGTGCTTAATATCGAAAGCTTTTATGCATAAATCAATATCAGAGTTACAACATTTGTTCATCACCAGTACGACGGTCGGTTTACCGGTTTCAAGTTGGTTTAATCTGTACGAAAACGTGAAATAACCTTTCGATTGCGTCATTGCAACAACAAAACGTTTCTTGCCCGATTTTCCGTCGTTGCGATATTTGATCGAAAGATCTTCCCGTCGATCGACCATCGTATTGAAGTAAAAATCATCGTATTCTCCTCCTCCTCCTCCTTTTCCTTCGCCAACGATACCAAAATAAGTGACGTTCACACGACTGCCTAGGGTAAATGTGTAAATTCCTTTCTTCAGAAAATGACGCATCGCGAAGACACCTTCGGAAGTCTCTTCCCATTCGTGCACATCGTGTTTGTCGAATGCATCGGAATATCGTGCAACCGTCTGTAGTCTTTGCGTGGAAAGTATGTTGTTGTCGTCGTCGGCGGCGGCGGATGAGGAGCAGGTGTGCATGCGTAACGTTAATCCATGTCGTGAGACCACTAAAAATGCGACCTCCAACTTTGGAGTAAATGACAGTTCCTATGGACGATGTAACGTATGTCGAATTTCATGAAACCTCTGCGAAACGTGTAGGTGTCGGAACATTTGTTTGTGATCAGTACAACCGTCGGTTCGTGCACCCGTTGAACGTAGGTCCTAAGCAACCTTGGTAACGTCTCGTCGTGTACCTGGTGCGAGACGATCGTTTGTTTGCACAGCATCTGCAGGGAGGGCATCTCGTCGTACGCTT